CTAGTAGGTGGCCCCTGAAAATCTAATGTGGTCCTTGAAAAGGCCTTGAAAAGTGGTTGCAATTTTTTGTATAAGCCCTGCTCTAGTGTTCAGTTAATTGAGGGCAGGACTTGAATCTGGGATTGCTGGATTGCAAGTTTGACAGGCAGACCACTCAGGCATGCTTCTCTCCTGGTGAAGGCAGGGTACAGGTTCTTTGCCTCAAATAATTGTTTGATTTTTCTGTTATGTTGCAGGACCATTCATCAAAAGTCATGAAGTTGTTTGAAGACATCTTTGGCTGGCTTCCCTTGGCTACAGTTGTCAATAAAAAAATTCTTGTCACTCATGGTGGAATCTCAAATATAACAGATTTGTCTTTTATCGACAAGATTGATCGCCATAAAGTAAGAATTTTGACTTTTTCAGGGGCCAGCAACCAGAACCCAAACTAAACACTCCTAGAGTACTCCCCTCTTGGCCATCCCTGATAGAATCCAGGAAATTTTCTTTATTCTTATTTTCTTATAGTTAATTCCAGCCTCACTATTTCTTTCTTATTTTGTGTTAACTAGTATGTATCAGTTTTGAAGCCGCCAAATATGGTCAAGCCTAACCCAGATAAAGTCGACCTCATGGAATGGAGACAGGTTTTGCATTATTATTATTGTTATTATTATTATTATTATTATTATTATTATTATCATCATTATTATTATTATTATTATTATTATTATTATTATTATTATTATTATATTTACTGCCACAATACTGTATTAAAGTTGAAATCAAAAGGGTCACCTTTTGGAAGTTGAAATAAGGCAGGTTTCGATCCATTTTGTTTATTCTGTTTTTTGTTGTTGTTGTTGTTGCCATAAAATGTCAGAGTGTTGTGTACAAAAATGTTTGTACCTTGTTAGACATTGAATTTCAGAGACCACCATGTTGTGAAAGTCAAAATTGACTAAGGTAGAATTCAATGTGTCCAGGAACATTGAAATGTATTTCAGCACTAACTTAGAGTGTACTTAATTACTACAATAACCCGACAAATATGCATGAAAAACAAACAAATATACTATTTTCCTTAGAAAAAAGATATTTGAGTTATCTCGACTGAAGAGTTGAGTTGTATCCGAGCTACATTTATAGCGACTTTGTTACTAAAAGAATTCACCTGACATAATCTTTATGCATGTATTTCGATGAATATTTATGAATAGAGGAAGTGACATGGTCACTTGAAGATATGAACTTTCTCCCCGATCTCTTGTTGATAAACATTTCATGAGTGAGTGCAGCAAACAAGTAAAATACTTTTCAACACGAGAAAAGAAATTTTGTATCTCCAAGCAACCATGTTATGTTCTATCTATTATATACACACCAATGGAATACCAAATCATTTTGCTGCAGAAGAAGCAATTTATTACATAACCATAGCAACAGTGATCTTTTCACAAGAAAAATAACTTGTTATTTGCACATGTGAAGATATCATGTCTTTGCATGCAACTTTACCTGATATTTCATCGCTGTTTGCATAATAAAAATAAGAATTAAAATACCAATAGTTAATATTAATAATTAATTATAATAATCGTAACATTATATTAATTATAATAATTATATTATCATTTGTGCAGATACTGGATCTTCTCTGGAGTGACCCAAAGCCATTACCAGGCTGCAGACCCAATACCTTCAGAGGAGGTGGCTGTTACTTTGGACCTGATATCACTGAGCGCATCTTAAGGAAACATGATCTGGAGTTGTTAGTTCGCTCACATGAGTGTAAATATGAAGGATATGAGTACATGCATGGAAAAAAGGTAAGGGACATCAAGAGAACCTCAAGTAAAAATTCAGAAAAAACACCTAGTTTCATTTAATAAAAATTATAGAGAAAAATAGTGCTATGTAAAAGTGCTGTGGAAGAGGTTTAATTTGAATGGTCACACCATAGGATTTTATCCACAGACTTAAAAGTTTGAACTATAAGCAAAACTAATAGTGCTATGTGAAATTAGTAAAATCCAACAAGTGGTCTATTATCAATGCTGTGTTCTGATTGGTTGAGCTACTACTAGGCTATGTTATAGCTCACTACTAGCGAAAAGCACTAGCTTTGAAAACCAAAACAATGGTGGCTGAATCGCATTTTACTAGCTTAAGTTGTTTTGTCTTGATATTTTTGACCAAAACAATTATTCCTCTCACCCTTATGGCCTCTGAGTCAATAGCCCATGAGGCCGAATTGACTCAGAGCCCATTCGGGTTCAAGGAATATAATAATTATTATTGTTAAGTATTGGTAAATAGGTTTCATTTGAATGGTCACACCATAAGATTTCCTCTAAAGGTTCAAAAGTTAGAACTATACAGACAAAACAAATAGTACCTTGTGAAAGTACTGCTGAAGAGGTTTCATTATAATAATTAATGTTTGGAGCAAAGAGATCTGAGAGATATGTGACTGTTATAAAAGTGAGCCAGATTTCTGTTCTCTCCGACGCGTATTAGTTCTATGACTACATAGGGAGCCCAAGCCTTATTAGCCTCTTGATTTCTTCTGGGCTTCGTTGCCAGTTTATCATTTTTTTATTCATTTATATTTTCCTTCCTTTGTCAAACTAAGTGAACTGAGTGAATGAATGGATGCAATAAACTGTCGCTGTCTAAAGAGCTTTTTTGCTTTCCCTTTATTCTTCAATTCTGTTTTTAAAGAATTCATGTTTGTTTTTCCAAATAGGTTATCACAATATTTTCAGCCTCAAATTACTATGAGCAGGGAAGCAACAGAGGGGCATACATGAAGATTGGCCCAGATATGAAGCCTTACTTCGTCCAATACCAAGTATCCAAGACAAAGAAGCATCTTACACTTAAACAAAGGTTTGTTCGCACTTGTTGACTACAACAGAGAGGAATTATTTTTATCATGACAAGGGATGGAAGAAACCAAATCAAAAGAAAAAAGTGTAAACCATTAATCTTTTAACCTCCTTTGTCTTAAAAGCACCCCCCTCCCCACCTGTCCCTGACCCTCACCCCCATTTCGAGAAAGAAAGTCTTAGCCCGATTCTCTTTAACCACCATTATTTATTAATGTTATTATTCATTTATTTATTTATTTACACCACCACTTCTAACGTCAGATTACAGTATTACATTCAATTTGAGATAAAATTCATAGAACCATGATACATGAGTGTGACATCTTGATAATCAGGTTTTCATGGTCTTTGTTTTTCTCTAGGGTTGGTATTGTGGAAGAGTCGGCTATACGAGAGCTAAAAGAAAGATTATATGCGAACAAAACAGCTTTAATGGCAGCATTTCTCGAAAGAGACAAAGAAAACACAGGTACGAATTCACTGTATTGCTTTTGGGCGTCACTCGTGCTTGCATCTTCTTTAGTAGACTTTTGGATGACTCTTATTTGCTTTATATCAAGTTTTTTCACCAAGCACCAAAATTCGTCAAAACTCGCAACTTTTATTTTGTACCATGTGAAAGTACTGCTCAAGAGTTTTCATGTCAAAGGTTGCACCATAGGATTGATTTCTTACACAGACTCAAAAGTTAGAACTACGTACAAAACAAATAGTATCTCGTGAAAGTACCGCCGAAAAAGTTTCATTTGAATGGTCACAGTAGGGTTGTCATTAAGAGCCGGGGGCCGGGGATTTTCCCCGGCTACTAAGAGAGTGGCCCCCAGCTACTTTTATTGGAAAATAGAAGAAAAATAGAACCACAAGAAATGCCTAGCCGTTTGATTCCCCGCCTACTTGTTGTATTTACCCGGCAACTTGAAATCTTAGTGACAACCCTGCGGTCACACCATAGGATTTCATCCACAAACTTTATAGTTAGGACTACATACAAAACAAATAGTACCATGTGAAAGAAGTGTTGAAGAAGTTTATTTGAATGGTCGCACCATAGGGTTTCCTCTATCAACTCAGAAATTTGAGGACGTACAAAGCAAATACTGTAGTACCATGTCAAAGTAGTGCTCAAGAGGCTTTACTTGAATGGTCTCATCATAAGATTTCTTACACAGACCAAAAAGATAACTGAACTACGTCGCTTGTCATCTTATTCGACTCCTCAGTGAAAGAGTGGATTAATAATTCTTGTTGTTATAGGCTACATTACTGGTGGTCAGTGGAGCAGTGCAGTAGAGAGCGTGTTGAAGTTAGACGTACCATGGAACATGTTAAGACGTCAACTTGCTCATGTTCTCCCAGACGGTAGAGTGGATTATCTCTCGTGTCTAGATCAGTATGTTATTGAAACAGGACTACAAAAGGCAAGGAAGAGTTTGCTTCAATTACGGTATTTTTTCGATTAAACCCCTTGGGCGCTTTTTAAAAAGCGAGATTCGTTCCCTATCGCCTCACCCATTTTCGCGCTCGGCTCAGAGCTGCGTCGTGCAGTATATTGTAGTGGTACTTGCAGACATTGCAAGGTAGTATAAATTAACAATGCTGCAAACGTATCTGCACCTGTCATTAAACCACTTGGTTTTACCACTATGGGGCTGATTTAGCAAGGCAACAGAAACGTCAGTTGACGACGGCGCGCACAAATCAAACAACTGGCGTGACCAATGGCAGAGCAGTAAATTGGGCACCGGAAGTTGCGTTTAGTCCTTTCCGCGCTCTTTCCCGCCCTCAGCTGACGTTCCCCATCCGTTGCCAAATCATGATTCATGCAACCCTCCCACGGAGTTGTGTCAAGCCTCTCAATGCACAGAAGAGAAAAGCGGACTGCAAGCAGTCTAGTTACATGTATGTAAGTTCTGTTTTCTTTTCTCTTTGTAGAATGGCCCAAGTATCACTGAAACACTTTATAGGAATAGATCCAACTTGGAAACAATATTCCGAATGATGGATAAAGATAACTCAGGTACGATACATGACGTGTACAGTTCTTTGTTCTTTAGTGAATGAGGAAGCGTAATATTGGCGTTCAGAACAAAATGAACTAGATCCGTCCCTTTAATTCCTTTCATTGTTGATTCAATATATTCCCCCCATTCTGATTGGCTAAAAGCACACGCATAATGCACCATAACCAGCTAGTCATGACCAAATTTGGAAGAATTTTGCGATTAATCAACCGATGACGTCAAAGGTGCAGCTTCCTTGCAGGTTAATGCACCGTTAGCCGAGAAAAGCTGGGGACGAGGTTGAGTTGTTTTGCTTGTGAAAACAAAAATGGCGAACATTTCACTAGTTTCAAGAGTAAGAACTAGGCGAAAAAATAGCTAAAAATATGGCAAGAAGACAACTCGAAGGGCGACATCTGCTATTTGGAGAATATTTGCGGAGCTGAACAACCCTAAACGTCCACTGTCGAAGATGAACTTAACATCGATGGAGGTAAGCTATTTTAGCTATGTTTTTAAACTAGGAATTATTCTGAATGAATAAAAAAACAATTATTGAATTCGGCTTTCGTATAATATGAAGAATTATGGAGATCTCGGAGGGTGACTATAATTCTGTATAAGATACTCAGCCTCATTCATTAATTGTTAAATGTATCTATGATCTATTCAACAGGTTTAGTGTCGATGGAAGAATTTGAGGAGTGCTGTCGTCTGTTAAACGAGCACACAAATTCAAACATCCCTTTGGACTCAATCGAAGACTTGGCGAGAAGCATTGATATGGATAAAGACGGCCACATCGATTTTAATGAATTCTTGGAGGCATTCAGACTCGTCGACAGTTCGAACTCGGCTGTTACAGCATCGACTTTGTCTCTGAAACGCCCATCACCCGTGAACTCGATACATATTATTTCCTAGTTTGAGCTCAGTCGTGGTTTCATTCCTGTCTCGTAATGGCCAGCAAATTTCCAGAACGACGAAAGGTCCCAAATGAAATCCTCCTCAAGTACTTTTGCGATTTGTGCCGGTTGTTTACCACAGAGTCACAAGTTACGGAACTGCCTGGTGCAGCAGAAAACCTTGATCACAGAAAAAAAAAACATCGAGGAACAATTGCCTCGAAGCAGCGCTCCACCAATCACTCTTCAAGTTTTTTTTCAAACAAGAGCGTTCGCCTAATTGGAGACTTGAGGATTGTTGAAAGAACCTGTCCACACTTGGTACCCGGGAACCAGTGCCTTGGTACCGGTACAAAATGGTGTTGTGTTCACAGTTTGAGTACCCGATCTGAGACTGTGTTCAAAGTTACTCCATTTCGCCTTGTCAGACTCCATTTTGAGACATGACATGAGCTTAGCAACTGGTACAAACTGAAGTAGTGGGCTGCCCCAGAACTAACAAAAACGGTGTGCACACAGTGATCCGGTGACCACTTTTGTGCGACGGAATACTATTGTGAGTTCTTGAAAAAAGGGTATGTTCACATTAGTGCCCGGCGAGTACAGCGGAAAATGGAACACAGAAAAAAAACACAGCCAAGTACTGTTTAGAAACATAACTAGACTCCTACATTATGGAACAACCCAGTACAACAGAAAAGTGTGTCGTAGAAAGAATAGGACAGTTCCCCACAGGGGCAGCACTGAACTCGAATGTGTCATGGCCGATGAGAATGAATCAGGGGGATATTTGGTGCCGATCCCAACCGTGTCCGTTTTTAGAGAGAGCTTTCTGAGTTTCTGTATATAACGGCAAATGTTTTGTCTCTCTTATGTGCACTAGTGGTTAGTTGAATCACGTGGCTGCCTGCCTGAAAAGTAAATTTCAATTCTGATGTTAAAGTTGGCGCATTCATGAGCCATGTTACAGAGCAGGAAAATTTATTTATAAAGACTTAGTGGTACATTCTCTAAATTTAGCCGCGTTCAGTGTAAGGTCAGAAACCGTAAAGAATAAAAACAAGGAAACAAATAAACTCAGAACGGCTGTCCAGATAAGTAGGTTAAACGTGATAGTAGTGAGACACAAACCGAACGATTTCGTCGGGATGTTGCCTAATCCCTGTACGGCGTTTTGCTAGGCCTTCTCGGTCAATTCACTTTGGTGACGTATCCGAGGCAAACGGACGGGAAACTTCTTAGCTCGGACCACGTGACCAGAAACGCATTGGCCGTGCGGAATAGTGAGGCCTAGGGACAAGGCAAGTCGGGATGTAAATTAATGACATTTTAACATCAATACATCATCATATGCATCATCATTCGTAGAGTGATGTATATGATATTCATTTGATGATTTTATGAATTGCGGTCAGATTTTAAATTTTACGAGATTAATATATGGTATTTTTTATTGTCTAGTTTACAAAATTTCTTAATGCAGTGGCGAATTAGTCTCCTGTTTAGAAAGATGTCGATTTTCACTTACAGAAGCTAAAAACCCAAGCAACAACCTCGACCTGATTTAGAACTGTTTAGGACATTGGGCAAACTACATGCCTTCTTGTTACGCGGGATGACGTAGTCAGCCAGCGTCATAAATTCGGTAGCGCATTCCTTTCGTATTTTTCTTGGGAGTCAAGGATTGCCTTGCTTTTTTAACTTTCCCGTATTCCGTGCCCGTCCCGAAAAATTGTGTGATTTTTATTGGCTGCAACTTCGAATCACGTGCAAGTCAGGCTGGATGGCACAAGCAGAAAAAAGTTACTGCGCCAGCAAAACTTACTGCGTAGAGGAGGACAAAGTCAAGGCTGTGCTCTAACTTTCTTTTATAAAAAGACGACTTTCCAACAAGATGATCTATTCAAATAAAAGAGAGAATAGTTTTGGGGCGGCCGCGGTTTCGTCGAAATTCATAGCAGCTTTCCCGGAAAGTTCCACGTGGTCTCAGCAAATTTTCTTGTGTCCCCTAGTGTTCCCTGTGTCCCTTGTGTCCCCCGATGTTCCCTGTGTCCTCTTGTGTCCCCGGTGTCCCCTGTTTCCCTTGTGTCCTCTCTGTCCCCTTGTGTCCATTGTGTCCCTCGTGTCCTCTGTTTCTCCTTGTGTCCCTTGTGTCCCCTGTGTCCCCTTTGTCCCTTGTGTCCCTTGTGTCCTTTGTGTCCCCTTGTGTTCCCCCCGGGTTCCGAGGTGGTCGTTTACAAGAGCTTCGACTGTATGTGAAATTTTTTGATAATAAAATAAACAGCTTACGCCTTTGCAGCTAAGTTTCAATGTGCCTTTTTATGGAAGAGGTCAAAGTTGTTAAAAAGATTTCGATAAGTCGTACCTGGTTTCGAGGCTCGGGGGAAGAAAAAAAATCATCTTTGAGGCAATAGATTTTTTCCTTTATTCCCTCACCCTTTGGAGCCCAGTATAAATTTTTAGTTATCGAAATTAGTCTATGTGGATTGTTGCATGTTTTGGGAAAAAGGAAACCGCATGAATAGACCATGCATTTTCATAATGACGAAAAATCATGAGATTGATTTCATGAATGAAAAATCACGAGAATGAAAAATCATTTCCATATCAAAGGCTGAGCACTTAACCTCGTTTTGATACAAAGGCCCCGGGTGATTCTGACGTGGCCTATTTGCGCAAGAAGGCAACAAATATGAAGGACTGTGGTCCCGATCGAGGTGGGGCGGGCCAGGGAGGTACTCCCATATATGGGCTAGATGGGTATGTGTCGCAATAGGGTATAGATTTCGTCCTTGTTGGCGTTGCGTGATCCTCATATAGTACCGTTGTTATATGATGTGCCCCTTATATATTTTTATGAGCAAAAATGCAAGTGCGTTAAAGCCTAGCTACACGAGAAACTGCAGCAATCATATCAGGAAGCGCGCGATGGATGAGAATTTGAGTGTTTCCATTAAATTTTAGTTTTTCTTTTCCCCTTGAATTGGAGTCTCATTTTTCAGGTTTGGGCCTTAAATAGGGTATCATGATAGTTTTCTTATGTCTCAGGGTCAGGGTTAAAGACCATGGGCGGCACACAGCTACCCCCTGGAACTCTAGTAGTCCTAATGAAGTGACGTCATCGTGCAACTATCCTAACATAAAAATTTGGCGAGGTTTTGCTTTGACCTTCATCAAGAATTAATTGTTAATTAGTGGGAAGCCAATGTCAGACGCAAGAACTGAAGTGTTTTTTCCGGGCATCAAAACACATACATCATCTTTATTTTAAACCTCAGATAAAGATTTTATAGACGTAAAAGACAATATTACCGAAAAAGAAAAAAAAAACAATGACACAAAAGAAGAAAAGAAACGGGAAAGAAAGAAAAATAAAAATACAAAGGAAATACAAAAATTACTCGTGTATTGTTATAAAACAAAATTTGTCGCACTTTTAATGTTATAAATATCAAAATGCTCAGATCCACAGTGAGTCCATTCTACATTCCACACGCATACTATTTTGGCATCGACTTGATATGGATTGCATTAAAAACTATCTGTGATCACCATATGTTGTGTCGCCTGCTACATGTACTCACAAATCACTGCAACTATCTCATTTAGAAGCTGTTGGTTGGTTGGAGATAACCACCCACTTCTGAAGCGCTCAGCTTCCGGGAATCAGATCGATTAAACACTTTTCATGTTTGATTCGATTAAAAGCTCGACCTTTTGATGGGATTATGAGTACAAGATTGAGTATACGTAGTACAGAGATACGTTATACGATTAAACGAATTCCGCTTTTCCAGCCAGTTATTCTCTAATCTGTGCCTTTTGAACGGCCTATTACGTAATCACCGACCACTTTTATTCAAGACATGTTTTAGAGACTGTACTTTTTCCCTCGACATTATTCGTGTGTACATCAAATGCTCTCAGTTTTGGTACAAAAGCCGTTTGCCTTCCGCTGTAACTTGAAATGTGCGTCATAGCGGACCTGGCAAGATTCCAGAGGGGGAGGCCGGAGGAAAAGGCGTGACTGTTCATTGATTAGCCTTTTTCGTTTTTGTTGTTTGTTTGATTTTTGTTTTATTTTAGGCATAAAAAAAACCTTGACCCTGTGAGTTCCGATTTTTCACTCTTGAACGTGCGGAACAGCGGCCTTGATCCCACAAACAGAACGTTTTGGGGGAGGAGAAGGCGTAACCATACGTGCAATGATTATGCGTTTTTTCGTGGTCTTTTCGGTTTTGAACTAGGGAAAGAAAAAAATGGGGAGGAGGAGGTGTCAGGTCTGGATGCAGTGATCATGCTTCATCTGTTGCTGCTGTTGCTAATCTAGTCCCCCTTCACACTGTAAGATGGGAAAAGCACGGGCGTTGATATGATAACCACTTACATTTGAAAACAAACTGGGCCGCTGTTACAGTGATCTGTGAGCGCTCGATTTTCAGTACGATCGTATGAAATGAAGTGAAGAACTAAGTGAAGAACTGGCATAACCGAAGAGAAGATATAATATAATCCTTACATCGTCGTCTAGTGCGGGCTCTTTGTAAAAAGAAATCCTTGTCATCTTTGTACATGCATTGGTTTAACTTTTCTGGCATACTAGACAGTTGTTGTCATTATTATTATTATTATTATTATTATTATTATTATTATCATTATTGTTGTTGTTATTATTAGTATTATTGTCTCTTCTCTCAGCTGTTCTGTCACAGTCTTTGCTGGTGTTATTTTTGTGCATCAGCTGGGCGCAAACCATGCACCTGGAGCATCTGCTCAAGTCAATCATTCTGTTCATACACTAATCACTGCGGTTCTGAGGATCCTTGCAGATCCCAGTATGCAGATCTTTTGGGTCTCTGTACACCTTCAGTGGGATCTGCCTTTACCTTGTAATAGCAGAACATGACTTCAATGCGTTCCTTTCGTGTCCATTTCTGTCTGGTGATTCTTCTGTCTGTGTTATCATAATAAACTTTTTGATGCCCTTGTTGACTGCCTGTATTACTTTACGGTTGCGAAATATGTAGCCTCCCACGCAGGCGTTTTTAAGGGAGCTCGAGCCCCCCTAAAAACCCCTGCGTGGAAGGCTACGAAATATGGGGACCAGAACTACTATCTTATAAGACACATTTTGATAAAAGTGCAATTGAGCAAGTTCACATTAAATTCTGTAAACAAACATTAAATGTCCCATGGTACACAGAAAACAAAGCCTGTAGAGCAGAACTTGGCCGATACCCTCTATCTATAGACAAACGCTTCCCTTTTGTGCCGCTGGCAAAGATTAGAACAAAAATCAGACAACCCTCTCTTAAATGAAACTTTTATTTACGCAAGAAATCTCAGTCAGTTTTATGGTTTATTAGATAGTGACGAAACAATAGAAATGCACTACAAAAACGAGGTAATAAAAAATCAGCAATGTGTTAAGGACACTCGTTCTAGCATTAAGCAACAGTTGCAGAAAAAATTTTCTCAAGATTGGTTAAAAGTTCAAAACGTCATTAACTCTAGACAAAAATATACAAACAAGGAAATTAAAAAAGATAATCGCGTAGAAAAATACCTACAGATAGTTAGAAATCCAGCTCATAGAATCAGTATGACTAAACTGCGATTGGGATTTCATACTTTACGTATACAAACAGGGAAATATGAAAATAAAGGATCTTCTATACCAGTAGAGGAAAGGCTTTGTTTAGTTTGCAAAAGAAATTGTACCGAAGACGAGAAACACTTCTTAATTGATTGTACTGAATACGATAGTCTTAGACAGAAGCTTTCATATTTCTGAAAATGACGCAAACTTGATCAATTTAACAGATCATGATAGAAACGTTATTTTTACTCAGATTGGACAATGACAATACTTCACAAGTTATAGCCAAATATGTCCATCTACAGACACGAAAACAGATCCTGAGTTAAAAATCTAATTGATTAGTTAATTAAATTATAGTATAACTATTATCGAAATGGTATATGCCGTATAATTTTGTTGTTTCCTTTCATATTTTATATCATTTGTTGTAGTTATGAAAACCTTTATTGTAACTAGACCAATGCCTCCCTTTGGAGAGTAAGGCGCAATAAAGATACAATATATTGTACTATTACTATTATCATCATCATCTTTATCAAACAAATCTCTGTTATAGTTTTAGAAACAATTTTTTCTCATACAAATCCATGTTTCCAGCCAGGCCTTCCCAGCATATGTCACGGTTAAAAAAAGATTCCCAGTTGACAGTCGGAGGAAAAAGAGAAACAATACAGAGATTAAGTTTCACGTTTACGCCGCAGACGAGAATTTATACCACGTGTCCAAGTTTTCCCCTTATTTTCCGTTTACTCTCTATTGCTTCCACATAACAATAAGTAGTTTTAAGTCAGTTTTAACCATAGGAATCGATGGGGACTGTTTTTATCTGCTTATTAGCTATTCTGAGAAATTCTCAGCTTGAGTCAGACGTTTGCCGTTCGCGGTAAACGTGAGTAAAAACGTGAGTAAAAACGTCAGTAATCCTTGGCAACTGGCAACCAGGGAACAAGTTCCGCTATAATTTTATCAAGGAACTGGCAAAATTTGGCGTGATAACATGCAAGTTGAAGAAGACCCTTTCGGCATGTTTAAGTTGGCTTTTATCTTCGGGAAGCAAAAATCCCCCACTCTCAGATAACGGTAATCGCTTTAAAAAAATTAGTGACGTGTCTGAATGTTGAAAGGTGAGACTTGTTGTGCGCAACATGGCAGTCGTTCATTAGGGATTTCCTGGGGGATTCTGTTAAACAATAGAAAACGTGACACCCAGAAGTGATAAATGTCAAGTCCCTGAGCTTTTGAAAAGGCCAAATTATTCAAAATGTACCGGTATATTCCAGATTTCGTGATTTAACAGATTACAGTAATTTGAAAAATCAACTGTAGCCTTCTTTCGTACCAAATGCCCGGAAAGAATTATCTAGATACTTCCTGCAGGTGTAATTAGTCACTTGTCACTCCTACCCTGTTGTTACCACGTTGTCTTCTTTATACATGACGTCATTTCCGACAATTGAACCCGCGTTCTTCAAAAGACGGATCCGATAACCAGATAGGCTTTGGTTTTGGATAAATATCGTGTGCATCAGCACAACGAACAAGTTTTAGTGCCCTTCTTTACACAGAAAGAACATGAACGTGTCGTTATTCTTAGTCATCCTGTTGGCTGCTTTTACATGTGGAGGGAAAAAAAAGAAGAAGGGAAAGGGAATTAACATTCACAATATTTTCCAAAGTGTGATGCGCACACCACCGAAGCCTGCAGCTCCACTGACAACAACAGCGCCGCCGACAACAACCGCAGCTTCAACAATCGTAGGACCAACGAGATCTGATTCCCGCGAGTACACGGTAAACTATGAACCATAATCATATTTTAGTAGTACTAGAAGTAACGTTTTGTTTGTGAGAACCTATGACAAGGCTAAAGAGTGGGTGAGCTTGATCATGAATTCGAAGTTGCGCAGTGCAATTTGAGACTTTATGCGGATAAGACCACGAAAAGTATTTTCACATGTAGGTAGCGTGCAAATCAGCGCGCCGAATTACGCTAATTCGGGAGTATGCTTGGATAAATTTCGAGCAGAGTAGCGATTTTTGAGGAAAGCATTCTTCCGGCAGAATGAGGCGTTTTCAAGCAGAATTTGAGCAGAATAAGGGAAAATCAGCGGCACTAATGAAATGCATAGCCGGTTGTAAGAAAAATTTAAAACTAAATAAAAAACAAATAGAAAGAAGGGGGTTGTTGTTCGAAACGTCAATTTCTGAAGGGTGCAATTACAAGAATAAATTTCTGAAGGGATAAAGGGAGAGATGCATCGTCAATATAGGCGTGGTGAATACAGTTTTTGTAGTGAAGGATAAGCCATTTTACGAGCAGAAGTTATCCAAGCTTATCCGGGAGAGGACGATATACGCGCAAGACGGAGAGAAGAAAATGATTTTCAGCGTCTTACACGCGGTTTCAGACCCATCGTTTGAAAAAATGAGTTCCAGTAAGCAAAAAAAGAAAAAACTGTACACAAATTTTCTGGAGGTTTCGGTTGCAACATCAAAACTAACCAACAAAAGTGAAAGACATAATGGGCAATTTTTGAAAAGTGAACAAATCGAATTGGAGTGGCACGTCAGGAGCCAGTTTAATCAAAAACTTTTACAAGTGTGGCTATTAGTGAAATTAGAGTCTAAAAACAACAGCTATACAATCGAACCCCACTTTACTGAGACCCACTTGATTACAAACACTTCACCATGTCTATAATCCCAGGGCTATGGACACCAAAGAATGGTTTTTGATTACCTAATGTATAATGAGTGACTTTTTGAGGCTTTTGAGTGTTTTCATGGACATAGTCCGCAGGGGCGAATAACAGCATTGTGAAGGTTAAAAGTGTCTTGTTTGACATCGCTAGTGTCCTGTTTTATTTCTTTTGTCAGTATTTTATTCAAATTAAAGGTTGTATCTTTTAATTAAATAACGTAACACGCTAATGTGTTTGACTGTACTTTAAATTGCCTCTAAGTGTTATTGAATTGACCCCATAGTTCATTTTTCATCAATTAGCTTTCATATACAGCACAACTTCCTTCTAATAATGGACAGCAGTCCTGTCCACCCAAATCCAAAAAGATTTTTGAAAGCACATATTTTTTTATATGAATACTGGCCTTCCTTCCACATCAAACCAGTGAATATAAGAGGCCTTTTGCAGTAGCTGATCACATGATCAACTCTCTGGAAACATGAAAACAGTTCGCTTTGAAAGAAACGATGTTCGAAGAAACTGAAAGGGCGTTTACAGTAGAACCCGGCTAACTTGAACTTGGATTACTCGAACTCCCTGCTAACTCAAACTAACTCCAAATTCCCTTCGATGCCACTCAACTTTTCAGTCATTTTTACTTGTTTAACTCAAACTTGGATAACTCGCATTCCCTGCTAACTCGAGCTACCCAGATCTGGGTAGTGATGCATGATCAGTACGGAATTTTTGCCCTCGTTTCTCAGACATCATGTGGCAGGGAAACCAGTGGTAGTGTCGGCAAATGTCGGCTGTTTTCTCAGGCTATGTTCTCACATCTTTGAGAAGTATCCTAAGCAATAGTCATGGCTATATCACAGGTAGATTGGCTGTATATATAGGTAATGCTTTAAAAAAGAAAGTTTAAGAGAGACCAGTGCTTCAAACCAGTGAAACCCAGTTTTTTATGAGAAAACTAAGATTTTCTAGTGGCCAATTAAAGCAAAATTTTCTCCGGCTGCTGCAAGAGCACAGCATTGGGCTAATATGTTAGAACAAGGATTTTTCAAAAACTTGCAAGATACCTACACAAATATTGAGACAGTACACTACCACTCTGTCGTATGAGTTTTGGTGTTGATCATATTTTAGTGAGTTCTGCACCCTCCATTTTAAACCCCCTTTCAAAAAATGCCAAAACTACACCCCTGGTATGTTTACTCTAATCAAATGTTACTGCCCTTGTTGCGATATGATTCTACCATATTTTGGATAATAAATTATTGTAACCAGAGATTCCAACCCTGTCAACTAAAAAGTGAGGTTTTAGGAGTGGCATAGCCCCTCCCATGAGCACCAAAGGGGGATCTAGGGTCATGCTCCCCCAGGAAAAGTTTTAAGATATGTGCCTCTAAGATGCCTTTACCAGCATTTTGAGACCACAAGTGAACGCAAACCTAGTACAAAGTTGAGGCAATCCAGTGTATTACCGCACCCAAAATTATCACAGGCTCATGCTTGAATGCCATAAGGATAAAAATGGCTGAAAAATCCCACAAAAAATAATCGCAAAGAATCGTGCTAAAAAGACTGGTTAAACAAAAAAAGGAAGAGTTTTAAAACCGGGAGAATATTAAGTGAAAACGAGAGGTTTCAAAGCGGGAGGGTTGGAGTCTCTGTGTAACTGATTGTGGTTGTGGTGTTTCCGCACTATACTAATACCAACTTTGCTTCTATAGGGTGTAGTCCTCAAAAGTTTCAACACATCAGACATTAAATCGGAGGAGGAGCTTTTCCAAATGTTAAATATATCCCTTCCTAATGGTAACTATACATCTATATTCTTTATGATGGCTCATGACTTTGCACCCTAAAATGGAGAATTCTAAGTATATACTTGCCAACATTTTTTCAATTTCAGTTAGTCCATGACAATTTTAGAAATTTGTGCCCCCCCCCATACTTTCACTTCTTCTTCGTTCATGACTAGTATAGGGAGTTCAAGCAACCACAATGTTGATGGGGGCAAAAATATCTCTTACCAAGTGAATTTGTGCTGTTTCAAATGTCATCAGTATTATTCTTTCTCATTCAATTTGTCAAATGTTGGGAATTTTTTTTGGAGCTGATTTCTAAAGGACTGCATTTAAGTGCAATAGGCAAACAAAATGAAATCTTATAAGCTCATAAGTGTTTGGACCATTGGAGTCCATTGGAGTTAATTTGGAATAACACAGTGTGCTGGGAGAGTTACTGACAAGTAATTTTTTTCTTCTAACATCATAGGAGGTAACTCTCAAAGTGGATCGCATGGCAGTTCAGGTAAGTAAGCTTACAGGACGAGGTCATCTACGAGAGATTCTGATTGTAAGGCTTTGACTGGGAAAATTTTCTGGATAAAGTTGTCTCTTATGGGAGGTGGAGGTTGGCACATGAAGGTTCAACTGTAGTTTTGCTCAAAATAAGGATGATAATTCTTTTAGCTAGCAAGTATCCCCAACTGGTTAATAAGTGTGACAGATGAGACGTTCTAGAATGACCAGTGGTAGGAGTATAATGTTACTGGTCAAAATTAAATCCCGGTTAAAGTTTTTTAACCTAGGTTGATTCTCAGTTTCCTTTGTCTCTGATCTAGCTAGCACAAAGATCAAGAATCAACATAGGTTAAAACGTTTTAAGCTGAATTTAATTTTGACCTGTAACATAGACACGCAATGTGTGCGTGGCCGACCGTTTAACACCTCGAACTCCAGATCTAGAGGTCTGGGGTTTAAGCCTCGTCCACTGCGCTGTTTCCTTTGACAAGGAACTTTACTCCACTTTGTCTCTCTTCAATCAGGTGTACAACTGTATAAATGGGTACTGGCGTCATGCTGCTGGGGGGTAACCCTGTGATGGACTACCGTCCCATCCAGGGGGGGTGGGCAGGGTTCTCAATAGAAGGCGGCACCTGGCGATTGATTTCCGCTTACTTTGGGATTTATAGCCGCTTACTTTGTGTTTAGGTCGCTTTTCTTTGCTTTGTTTTGACACCTCTGGCTTTGCTGAAGAGCCTCCTACTTTATCAGTGATCACCTCCTACTTAAAACTCTCTTGAGAACCCTGGGTGGGGGGCAGCAATACTCCTTAATTGGCATGATTCATGTTAAGGAAAGAGGGATAAGCTCCAGCTGTTTTCGACCTCTTTACCTTATCTTTTACCTTATCTGTAAGAGCAAGGGCGTAAAAGTTTGCCGAATGCAGTCAGCAGTGTCTAGTGCTCCTCAATTTTCAAGATATAAGTAACAAGAATTCCTGGAAATAGGCCCCTAAACTGGCCATGAGTAGTCAAGAACTCGTTTTAACCCTTTAAATCCCAATAGTGATCAACATCAATTTTCTCCTAAAGATATCCATAGATTGTCGAGAGAAATAGTTATGAGAATTAATAAAATGATTAACAGAGAGAAGATGCTTTGATCTTTTATCAAATTCTCTTTACTTATTCTTTATGGAAATGAATAGAGATCAGTTTGGAGAATTTGTAAGTGGATATTGGGGCCTAAAGGGTTAAAGCTTAATAGCTTCTGAATTATTTTTTCATGTTAGCATGCTCCAAGTGTTCAAATTCCTCACAAATTCACTATGCTTGATGATCAGACAAATAATAAATTGATACAATTATGTCACATTTCCAATCTAGCTGGGTTAATGAATATTCAGTATGGTATATTAGAGCAAGCTTTTCTAATAAACTTACCACAGAGAAGTTCTCTTGCTCCCTCTCCCTCCCCCATTTCTTATTTCAGGTTTTTTTAAAAAAAAACTGGTTACTAAATTTACCTTTTGGAATTGGCCACACTTTGATAAATTTAGGCAAGCATTTTATATGCATTTTATAAATGTGAACGCGATCAACCTATAACAAAACTGTCAATATCCGTGGATATATTCTTCTCTAGAAGAAGCATTTGAGTTTTGATGGAGCTCATTTGCAGATGAACACAAAACTTTATCAAAATCAACCAAGAGAAACATAAAATCCAATAAATTTGCGTTTGGAGCCCCATAACTGCCGGATGAATTATGTAAACATAAATTATTGTCATCAGACAGTATGGAATTTCTGTCGCTGAGGCGCAGACATCTCTCCTGGCAAAACCTCCCAAGTGGCAAGGAGTGAGAATTTTTTTGCAGGCTATGATTCAAGTTGTGACAGAGTTTTGATGATATCATGTTTTCATAGGTTCTTCACTGGCGTGTTCACAAGTGAGATGTTCTGCACGGCCAATAGCAGTGAGACTTCCAGTTGAATCCTATGGCTATGGGTATTCAGTACATCCACATTGTGCAGTGGTGAACCGCTGTGGTGGTTGTTGCTATGTAAGAGCACATTCTTGCAAACCAACTGCTACGCGTATGAAACCAGTTAATGCTTATCTTATAAAACTTGGAATGAATTTGGAGAGCATGACACGTAAGTAACTTTTGTGTTCATAAGGCCTTAATCAATCTTTCAAGTGCAGAACTATTGAGGAAAATTGACAAATTTTGTCATTGTTCACTACCATATCTTACCAAGAGCGATGCCCAGAGATTTCATCACCTTCGTCAACTTCAGAGCCCTCAAAGTCCCAATAGTGACCAACATCAATATTCTCCTAACAATATCCATAGATTGTCAAGTGCAACATCTATGAGAATTAATCAAACGATCACAAAGAGAAAAATCTCTGATTTTTTATCAATTTCTCCCAACTAATTCTGTAAGAAAATGTATAGAGATCAGTTTGGAGAATTTGTTTGTGGATATTGGGGCTTAAAGGGTTAAATGGGATGTTCATGACATTATCAGCCACTTTCTTTGCCTGCTAAATGTTGATAGGCCACTTTTAAGTTACTATATTTTTACCTGGCATATGTGGAGGGGAATCCCAAGGAAAACAAACAGAATTTGTTTCTAGAATCACCAAAATGGTGACTTACCTTTTGAAGGGGCCTGATACTTAATACGTTTGTTTGACCACATTATATTATCTGTCCAAAAATTATCCACTCCTGGAAGAGCGCGTATATGCACGCTTGCGTATAAAAGGGTTGGAGGGGCTGTAGACAGCCATGCCCAAATTCTTTTAAATGCCAATATTGTCTATTGTTTTTTTTTTGCATTAGAAAAACTTTTTTAGGCATACAAGTGTCACCAAGAAACCAAATTTAATTGACGGACTGTTGTTTTGAACCTTGGTAACCAATGATAAATTGGCTATCCTACAATTTTTAAGTGGAGAAATGTTAACTTGGGAAAACGTTTGGTCACATTTTATTTGTCCCAGAGTTTTTGTGTTTGAACAGAACACTGGTTACTGTAGGTTTGATGATATGAATCTGCAGTCTTCCTTTCTCAACAGTTTTAGCAGGCTCTAGCTTTACCTTCGAACACATAGTAGTTCCAGTTGAAGAACATCTTAAATGCGACTGTAATTGCACGTCGTCAGCGGCGACATGTGACAGCAATCGACAAGATTGGGACAAAGATATATGTGGTTGTGTCTGCAAACGTCAATATCAAAATCTGGACTGCAAAGCACCTTTTAAGGTAAATATTAGTTACAAGTATAAATTGTGTATATTGACCTAAAAAGAGATTTAAAAAAAAAAAAAAAAACTTGACGTTTTAAGTAACACAGTTTACACTGGTGATCAAAAAAGTTTCAAAAACTATTGTGGCCCACAAATTAGGACAGAATCAAATATTTGCAAATTAGCATCACAGCTAGGTGAGGATTTTAACTGACCATAGCCATAGGCAGACCAGGTGTCTATTTTACAAGTATACCCTGTGAGCAGAGCCTCTATATTTCATAGGCCTTTTGCATTACAGGTAGTTGATCACATGATCAACTTTCGATAAACATGAAAACAGTTCGCTTTTGAAAAATTTTGTTAGCACGAGCTCAAAGAACATATTAAAATGAGATTTGAGCCCCCCAATGCTTAATTAAGGAACTATTTCATGTCAGTTTGAAAATTTCGAATTTTACGAGGATTTGTATGGAAAACCAGTCAAGCGTGACTGGGTGGCAAAAGTTGTTTTCCTCATTCAAATCCTTCTAATTTTCAGAGGCCATCACAACTGCTACTTTTGAGATATACGGCTAAAAATTTACAGGTTACAGCTAATTTTAATATGCTCTTTCAGCTTGTGCAAATAAAACATTTCAACAGTGAACTGTTTTTGTGTTTCCCAAAAGTTGATCACCCGATCAACTAATGCAAAAGGCCTATTAAGCCTGCTGTATCAAGCGCACAGCTATTAGGCCTGGGTTCAAAACTATATCCTAGCAACATGTAGCACATGCTCAACAGAGATCTTGCTCGACTTCTGCAGTCTTTTCTTGAGTACACCAAAATTGATCAAGCGAAGGAAAGGCTATCTCTGCTGCCAGGGTGTTACAAGCATGGCTTAGCAATTGATTTTGGACTGAGTGAGGCAACCAAGTTTAAATCCAGGCCCCTAAACCATCTAAACCTGTACTTGTACTGTGTTGTGAAGAATTACTTTACAGCCAATTAAAAAGCAATACAATTTGCATAATTTCAGGTTTTCATAATTTAAGTTGAAGAGCATCTCAACTTGTAGAAACTGCTATGTAGGTGTTTGTATTAAAATTACGTAAAAGAAGTCTGGACTACAAGCAGTCTACAAAATGAGTAAGAAAATTACCAGTGTAGTTACAATTCAGTTACACAAAATAACTTTAACACAGTATTTCTGTATCAAAAGTACCCTCAAGGTAACAAATGACTATAGTTTGCTTAAACAACAATGGGATTAGCTCAGTTGGGAGAGCGCTTGAAGTTGCAAAGCAGGAGGGCCTTCATGTGGCTCAGATGACCACGCAAAATGGCGGCGTCGTCTCCAGTAGGGGACATAAAAGTAGTGTCCACAATTATAGCTCTTTCATGCTGAGTGCATTAACACTCAAATTAAGCACTTTTCTTGTAATTCTTTTATTTATTTACTTATTTATTTAATTTACATATGTTTTTGTTATAGTATGACCGTGGAACATGCAATTGTGTGTGTGCCAAGGCAAAGGAAGACTGTCCACATAATATGAAATGGGATGTCAATGATTGTCAATGTGTGTGTAAGAAAGATATCAAGTGTCCACCAACTAAATCTCCTGACCCAAATAACAACTGTGTGTGTGCATAACAAATCAGTCGAGCTGAAACAATTAAGGAGCAAATTTTTGAGGAGTGCAGTGGAACCTCTCACAGTCTCAGAAGAACCACGGCCACATGGACCTACAGTGGGCCTCACCATTCATAGGCTCACATTTTCCATTTTCCCCCTTGACGGACATTATATCAGAGACCTTTCGATTCTAAGTTGAAAAAGAGTACTACAAGTTCGAGATTTTCTTAGTAGCCGTCATCATTCTACCTCAAGTTTTTGCAAGAATGTCGTAGTGGCGAAAAAAAGTTATCAGATGTTAGAAGTTTTATCATTTTGTGATCGGAAGGGGGCTTAACCTGACGTTCCTCCAATAAAGATAACTGAGTGCTAACTTTTTTGGTGAAAAAATATGCAAATAGGTGTCTAATTTTTGACAACATTGTGCGAAAGTACTTAAAAGCAAATCTCATACTCATTGTTGATCTTGTGCTCGAATCTAAAGGTCTCCATTAATTGTACCCATGCACCCTCTGCTTATTGTACATCTAAAAATTTGTTAGTTGATTTTAGGTCATCGTTAAAGGAGCTGTGTCATAAAATGTAGCAAAACTCAAACAGTGAGAGTGGCCACCAAATTAGATTAAGCTTAAAAATAACGGATCAAAACATCAAAGAAGTTATAAATAACAGCAAATGCAAAAGAAGGCACGGCTGACAAATTTAAGACGGATTGAAACAAAATATTGCAGTTTTTGAAAGCTTGTTAGCCTAACAATTTTGCTGTCAAAGCTCATGTTTGATGTTTGTAGCGTTTGATATCATATGATGCTTTGAGAGCTATATTTGTTTGATATAGAGCTATGAATTTGTCATTTACAAGTAAATTCCTTGCTAACGTCAAGTTCCTTAACGAAAAAAGGACGCGTTACATGCACAATTATCTCAATGAACTTGACAGCCCTGACACAGTCCCTCTAACACCAAGTAATGGGGTTTACGGTAATCTCGCCACCAACGAAATCAAAATAAATCGACTGTGTACTCACCTGGGACTACTTAGGATTTTCTACTTCTTCGCCAAGCTTATTCGAGTTGATGGCAGCGAATTGACTTCTCAGTGGCGACTTTGTTGATGGCGAGATGGTTTGGTGGCGAGATGACCGGTTACCAGTATCGGTAGTGATAAGAGAACGAATTGTAAAATTGGTTAAGGAGAGAAGGGTGCAATATTGAAGTTAGATTATTGAGAAAGTTGGCCTCCGTGATGGTTATGGCTGAGACAAAAGATTTGCCATCGGCATACAACTGCGGAGAATCAACCTTTGGGCTAATTAATAGGTTTTCATAAGGCTTCTGATGGGAAAACAAGGTCTTGATTTTTTTTAATTAACAGCTAAAGCCCAAGCAGTTCCTCGGAGTTTTGGGCGACCAAAGTAAAGCAAAATCTTGCCTTTGGTAGGCATTTTATTTTGTTTTTTTCAATTATATTTTTTGTCTAACCCTTGATAGCAGAGAGGACAGTAGAAACGTGTAATAGATTCTAAAATATTTTCCTAGGATGTTAATTATTTTTAAATAATTGTTATATTTTCAAATTTTGTTGCAAATGTGATTCGCAATCAACATACCATAAATGACCTAATAAACGTCCTGGGCGTCTATTTAAGTTTAGGGGTCCAAGACAGGGCGTGATTAGATAGGGGGCGTTTAAAAGAGAGGCCGGCGTTTATTCGCATAACTGTAACAAGCTCAACCAAACTAATAAGCTTTGGGCGAAAATATTAAGAGAGTTTAAAAACAGCGGAATATCCACTCCATCAATTGATATGTCTAGGCCGTCTAGAGATCCATTTCTCTCTTTGAAATCCCAACATCGTTGTCAGAATCCTCGCTCAGGGTTATTGTCGTTTAGTCTATCCTTACCTTTAACTTGATATTGCACAAGATGAAATACGCAAAGCCTTGTTAACCAAGGACGAAACGGAATGAATTGAATGATTTTGCTTAATCCTAGTATTTTGGAGTAATTCTCATAGGGGGCGTCTATTACAGAAGGGCGTCCAATGCAATTTTAACAGCATAGAGGGGGAGTTATTTAGTTAAGAGAAGTGTATTTGGAAGCGGGCATTTATTTGGTCATTTACGGTAAGCTTATTACATATTATGGTAGATTTTATTTACAACCGATATATTTTTAGTATATTTAATATAATAAGTTTGAACAGCAAACCTGGTTTTTAAATAGAGGATAGTAAATCGATAAGATAGGGACTTTCTTGAAAGAGTAGCCTGCTTAGCTAGCGCCTTTTTTTTCTTTTTCTTTTTTTCCGTGCGGTCTCGTAGGCCAAAACTAAAAATCCCGTTCCTCTGTCATTCTTTGCTCCGAAACCACATGGAAACGCTTGCTACGCAGGCTATTGAAAGAGCTGTCAGGCTACGCGTGTATATGCCCATAAGCTTTCATTTTTAAAGAAAATTTAATAAACTAATAAAAAGGGGAAAAGTGTTGTGTTGTTAATGTCCTTCTCTCATATTTGCGTGTTGAGATCGCGAAAATAAAACCCCGCGAAATATTCTCTCGCCAAAATCGCGAAATTAAATACTTGCGAAATTTTAAATTAGAAACAATAAGGTAAAGGCCTTTAATGCTCATATTTACAGAGACAAAAATCTGCAATTTACCCCACCCCCCACCTTCCCCAGCCCCTAAGCGAGACGACGAACGAGCATCCTTTTAGCCTGTTCCAGGCGTTCAGATAGTGGGGAGCGGTGCGAAGAAAAAAGGAGCGCGAAAAAATAAAAGCGAGGGAGGGGGGGAGGTGAGAGAGGGAACGCCTGTTAGATTTGTTTTAAACAGGGCGGATAAATGTTGGGCGGTGAAACGAGCGCTCCGCTCTTCATTTAATGTGTGATGCGGAGTAGGACTGGCACGAGCGCTCTTTCCGCGCTTCCGGTGCGCTTTAAGGCCGGCAAAATTTTCCTTTTTGCAAATCGGAAATCCTATTTTCTTTCTGTAATTTCAGGCGACAGTGTTAAATAGATAAATTCGTTTCATAACAATATCAATAAACAGTTTCATATGTTTGTGTCTGTACGTCTATAAGTCAAACTTGTTGGTCGTATAATGCCAAAATTTGAGTTTAATTTGAAAGTGTTGAATACCTCCTCCTTCCACTAAATATCACCTAATCGTCTTTCGCCGTTTCGTTTGCAAAAGCTTAACACTTCTTAACCTCAATTTTTACATATGTTAAAGGGGGATAAATTTTACATAACATAACAAAAAATAAGATTGATATATATTGATATAGTGGCGTTGTACTTCTTCAAACTTTGCTTCTCGGGTGCAACGCGCAATGGCGATTCGCGCAATGCGTTGCAAATCCGGCAACCGCATGTAAACAAAATTTATTGAGGTTAGTTGTAAGGTTTTTTCTCCGTTTTTCTCTCTAAAACAAAACAAGGTAAACAGTAAAAACTGAGGGGAAACTAATTTTGAAGTTTCGGAGAAACAGAAAGACGTATGAGATGTTTTTTTCAAAATTAAAAAGAAGGATGATGGTGATTGAAATTAGCATAATTCACCTTGCACGAGCTGCACGCATTTATAAAATACACGTCATCTAGTTATGAAACACGATCTGCTGTCTTTTAGTTTTGCCATAGATGACATGGATGAGATTTTCCTTCGTGTTTTAGACAGTACTTAGTTGTTTTGTTTCGGAATAACATCGTGGCGAGTAGAAGAACGAAAATATAATTCAGTGGTAAATAAAAGAAACCCTTTGAAAGAGATGTTTGTCTACGCCAACTAAACCTCTCCCCAAAAAATGGCAACATTTGCCTCTCGGAGACAGCGTACCAGCACAAAGGAACGAGGAAGAAGTGCAAGAAAACAAATCAAGCCGCCATAATTCAGTGACAGCGGCAGTGTCTAATGTACAAACCACATGGCAAGCCCTGACCGAAGCAAGCGACATTTTAGAGTCCCAGTCCACTGCATCACACCTTTTTGCTCGGACGCGCTCGTTTCACCGCCCAACCTTTATCCGCCCTGGTTTTAAATCAACATGATCTCGAGACCGAAATACCTAATAGTGTCAAATCATTTTTTCCTTTCAATTTACCGTATGTGATAAATCAGTGTCATGCACAAGAAAGAGGAGACTAGGGTCTAGGCACGAGGGCGCTTAGTCAAGCATGGCTGGTGAGTGTTCTTCCTAACGGAAATACCAATTTTTTGGTTCATTTGATTAAAAAGCAAACGCAATATGTCATTAGTCCGTGGACTATAGAGGGTCTTTTTCTTTTGAAGGAGTCTTAAAAATGTTTTATAATACTGGAAGTTGAATGAAGCATTCGTCAAAAATGTATCGCGGCCATTGCTGCTGTAGCCGTGTGCGAGTTTCCATTAAGAAAAGGAATCTACATTCAATTGCACAGTACGCTGCCGTTTCGAGTACTTTAGGAGGTAAATAGCTAGCTTGTGTATTATTCAGAGGAAAGTCTAGGAAAACAGCTTATACTTATTGATTACACGGTAAGTATAGTCGTTAAAGAATCTAAGAAAACATGTTTTCTTGGAGGCACGTTTAGACTATTAGCGCCTGCCGTCGACATTATATTTAAATTTCATTGAAAAAAAATATCAGAAGCTCATTGATCATAATCAGTGTATAGATTCTGGTGTACTATGAGCCAGTGAGCTTATAAACCAGCTGGTTCTTGTGGGCACTTTTAATTTAATAAGGTTGGCAAGACACAATCTTGCAACACTTGGTGAGGCACAGAGCATCATCATAAATATCTTGAGTGAAGGCAAGGTAATTAGGGCAAATTTAAGGGTTACTTACACAATTGTATATAAAGTACACCTACCAATAATATTCGATATTTGAATGTAGACCTTCATCTTCAAATTTTGTAGACAACGTAGCATCAAAAGTCAAGAGAGGATTCAAGGCAAGTAAATTAAATTTTAATGAAAGAAATTACTCGTTGTGCAACACCTACATAATTTAGTTGCAAGTTTAACTCTAATTGTCTGATTTTAGGCCAAGATTATGCAAACTAAAGTATTTTTTCTTCACCTTAAGCCTGATATTTTGATGCTGAACATACATGTAGCTGTAATAACTTCCTCATGTATTTTTTGTCATTTTATATTTTTTAAGTTGTTACAAACTGAAATAATTTTCATTCTGAGTTGGCATAGGTACAAATGCCAGCTGCCTCATTAGTAGTTGAAAGTTAAGTTGATATAATTGTATTGCATGGTTTTTAAGATGGAGTAAACCAATAAAAATATTGATAACATTTGTAGAGTAATATTTAAATGTCAATAATAATCATCATAATGTTTTACGATAAGTTTTTTCCTGTTAAATTAAACAGAGGTGTACTAACTGTGGCAAACAACAGCGAGCTGCTGTGAAGAAGTGTTCTGAATGTAGAACAATTTTTGTGAAGCCCAAAAAAGACCTGGAAAAGCTACGGAAAAAGAAAGGAAAAAGTAACATTACCAAACAAAAGCGCCTTATGGAAGCGCGAGTAAGTGAATCTTTTTTTAGTCAGATTTTCATATACCTTGTTTTAAATAATTAATTAATTAAGTGATTTTTTAAAATAAGGGATAAGTAAAGTGCATTGTTGTTGTTGATTATTGGTTGTTGAGTACTGGTGCTGCAAATTGTCAGTTATTCTCTCAGGCTAAATTAGACATCTTTTTATATTATTGTTGTTATTAGGCAAAACTCTAATTATTTTCATACTGTCAGGGGTGACTAGCACAGCAGAACTCAACACATCCAAGGCAACTGGGATGAGAGTGAATACTACACATTGTGTCTCGTGACAGTTTTTTGTACATTTAGTGGAATAAAATTAATGAAGGATTAACTGAAATTGTTGGATCAAAATAAATATTAAGTTTTTTTTGTTTAATCTTGCCTTTCAATGACCATCTTTTTTTTAATGTTTTATCATTTTTTTAAACTTGCAATATAATGTCCACTGGTTGATTTTACAGGCTGATATTTTACAGTGTGCACATGCTTGTGATGTAGTTATTCTAATGCATCACAAGCATGGTCTAGGAGAAACAGTGACTTGCTATGGAACAGAAGGGGCAGGGGTTTCATTCATTGGGAATAAGATGGATGTAAAAAGATCAGAAGGAGGCGAAATGGCTTTAATGCTGTTTAAGAAATTTATGCAAGGTAAATTTTATAGTATAACACTTGTGGCTGCTATGTCAAAAAACTGGAGATCATGAGGTCATTAATTAAGTTTAATGCAGAGGCACTCATCCACCCTCCTTGCCCTCATGAATAATTTCCATACTTGCATCATAAAACTGTGGTAAAAATTAATAGTGATGTGTTTTAAGTAGTTAATGTTTAATGAACGAGCAGGAGTATTTTACGAACTGCGGGTTTATTGAACAGTTTCAAAAACCTTTGATGTAGATCTATTAATTCTTGCACTAATATTTCGACCTGTCTGGGGTTATTTTGGTAGAGAAAATTGGATGTAAAGTTAAGCCGTGTCTTTTTCAGGTATAAAGACACTCATTAAACATAAATAACCTTTGTATTTTCTTTATGAGTTATAAATGATTTTTTTAATGATATTCATCAAGCTCATTGCTTGCAGTTTTTTCTTGCTGATCAGCAGGTTTCCTTATGCCAGTTTTCTGTAACATTAGGCACCAGTGTCATTTGTTATTAGTTATGAATTTGTTTTTTACTCTGCCCTAGAATAATAATATTCTAATCTTCTATTTTACATTTATATGCGTGTTGGTTATGTTTTTGATTTGCGTTTATCAGAATGAAAGATTGAACCGATTTCTATGATTTTTGGCATCCTTAAAACAATAATGGAAACTTTTTGTTTTCTTGTAGGTACAAAAACTTTTGAGATATCGGCATATATTTAAAACGGTATTTTTGCAAAAAATGTAAATAAGTTCGAAATCCCACGACAGATTTTTCCCTAACTTCAAATAACACTCGGAGCTCTCTAGTTTTACATCTGCAAGTTTGAAGGCAATCGTGACTGTAGAACTTGCTGCATAAAATGCTGGTCAAATTTAACCTTAATTAAGATGCTACGCTTAGACATTTTTTGAAAGTTGACACACAAATAGAGGAAGACTGCCGACAGACTATCTCCTATCTGAAAGAATATTCCTACTTAAAGCTTTATTGCAAGAAACAGAGTAATCAGAAACTAATTACGGCGAATACAGTAAGCACTTTAAGAAGAACAATTTTAAGCTGAGTGCGTGGTGATATTTAAGATCTTCTATTCATCAAACTTACTTTGTATTTGTCCCCCTTTTTTAGAAAACAAAGCAAAAGATAGCTTCTACGAAAAACTGTCAAGCGTTTTTAGCGTTGCAAGTTCCCATTTTGAAGAGAAATAAGGTCACGAACTCCAGTACTTCTAACCATCCATTTTTCAGCTGCAATGACGCAAATCAAAAACATAACCAACACGCATATAAATAGGTTCAGGCCTCCTTAATGCTTTACAAACACTATCCCTGTACTTTTTCATTTTGTTTCAAGATCATTTTACAAAACTTAAGTTAATTGATGGCTTTTGTGCTCTTGCCCATTGGAGAAGCATGCATAGAGAGTTACTAAGCAATATTAATTAAGATAAGCTTTGTTGTTTTTAGATTTCAAATCCAATTCAAGCTCTCAGCAGCAGAATGGTTCCTCAACAAAATCTGGTTAGTTTTTGTTGTTATCTGAAATTGATAATTTGACCAATTTAGTGTTGCAATAATATATTTGCAATATTTTATTGGTAGCATCCAGTTTCCACCCAGTTGTTCAAAGGCAGATTAGCGCTAATCCGGGGTTAAATTTTAATCCTGGTCCTCTTTTTCTTTTGTTCGAAGCATTTTCTTTGACAATGTTCTGTATTCTTTTTATAGCTTTCAAGCAAATTGAAACTGAATTTTCTTTTTAACCATTTCAATCTGAATTCAAATTTCGCTCTAATCCTTTGAACAACCTGGCCCAGATGAGCAATGGTCAGTACATGTATTAATTAACATGGTCTTTTAGAGAAAAGTTTTTTGCCACAACTTGTGGTCTTAGGACAATTATTATTATCTTAAAATGATGAATGATCTCTGGAGCTTTTTTCTAAATTATTAATTAATGGTCTACATGAACTTGGCCAAACCAAGATCATGTGCAACTATATACCATTTGTATTAAGGCCGCACCTACACGTACTGTTTAGAAGAATATAACAACCATTTTTTTTTTTGCAGGCCCTTGTACATGGGGTAATTTAAGTCAGTCAGATATTTCCAATTCACTGTCTGCATAACTTTTACTTCAACAGTCAGTAATAAGAGGGCTAAGTCAACCACCGTTCAGCCCCCCTTCTCCATCCAGCAAGAACCTTCAGACTCCTCCTTGTGCAGTGCCACTATATCTGGAGAAAATGCCTCATCAGCCAAAAGTGGTAATTTGTTAATTAAATTGTCACATTAATTAATAGGCCCTGATATGGTCTAATGAGCCATATGTAGCTAATCAGGGCATACACGTAGATAATTCAACAGTACAGTGATCACAGTAGTTTTTCTAGATAAACTGTATACTGCTCTGATTGTGTTGTAAATGTCCCTGAATACAGCTCAAGGGCTCTTTGCCCCTGGTTGCATAAGCCAAGAGATACATCAACCAATTCAACTAAATTCCAGGGAATACTATGTCATCAGTATTGAATTTTTTAAGGCAAAGTGTTGGAAGTCTAAAGGTGCTGTAAGTCATAGTGGCAGAGGGCAGTGAGGCTAGATGTCAAGTAGGATTCTATTACCAGACCCTGTTATCACAGGCATTCACACTAAAGAAAAATTTGATGTGACCTGTCAGAAAAGTGGCGGTACCCTTGCCTTTGGGGGAAAATACTGATATGTATTGAAAATGCAGTGTTGTTGCTAGTGTATAAGCACTTTTTGACATGTATTGTCGTATTGGTATAAAGCATCTTCATCCTTTTATTCCTAGACTGAGTTACTCACACTAAATTACTTGTAGACAAAATCTTGTGGTGTTTCCATTGAAATGAAACCTCTTCGGCTGAACTTTTGCATAGTACTATTTTATATTTATTTCATGTATAACCAAGGAAGAATGTTCTTTGGGACAGTGAGTTACCCTAATGCTGTTGTATGGTGACTTAAGCATATGAGCATTCTCATTAACATCCAACTAACTGTAACCAGCAGTCACCCTCCAATGAATTTGAATTTTGCATCTGAACTTAATTGGCAAAGTCAGCAAAAACCAAATCAACATTAATTTTTTGTTTTATATTTCTTTAGGCTCCCTCAAAGCAAATGTTGGAAGATTTTATTTCTTAATTTAACAGTGAAATAGCTGTACTTTAAAAGAACTTCCTAAGTGCATCTTTTTTGTCTTTATTATCTCACATGTACCAAAGATTGATGCAATATGGGTGCTAAAAATTACATCACCATCAAATTAACTATGGGGTGTACCTCAAATATTTGCACTTCCCATCAAAATTTTTTCTGATGCAGATATTTAAATCACTGTTACCTTGTTGTACCCTTCTTTATCCTTCCCCTTTACCTCCCCCACACCATGAAAATACCCGTGGAGCGGCTTTGCAGGCGTATGACCGTTTTGATAAGTGCCAGTTGAAGCTTTTTCATAATTTATTACAAAAACATTTCAATGGATTAGAGTGTACCATTGATTTTTGTCTACAGATTCCTGTGGGAATACCAATCCTGCTGTTGTTACTACAAGCAGTACAAGTGCCCAGGATTATGTACCGCTTTCTATTGCAAATGAAAATGGTTGGTTTAATTTGTCATTTTTCTTTACATTTGTTTAGAGATTCATTCGTGTGGTTGAAGAAACCTTTTTCCTTTGCTGCCAGTGGTAGTTTGCACATTGAAATCCAGCTTTAATTGTTTTGTTAAAAAATCAGAAATAAGGGATTTTAATATTATAGGATGGAATTTTTACTGTTCAACGACTAGAAGGGCATAGACCCAATGCAAAAATGGCCGTTAAGTTGAAATTCTTTCCTCTTATTTATATCAGCCTCAAGCTGACCTCACTTTCAGAAAACTATTCTTTTGAATTCTAAACTTCAGAATGCTATAGTCTCATTATTTCCCTTTTCAGATACTGAATCCCTAGAAATTTACAGTCAGTTCAGTTTCTGTACTATCTGTCATGGATACAGAAATTGCAGCTTGTTTTTTTTATTTCAGAAATGATTGTCTACAAGATAAGTGGTGTGCTCGCTGCTTGTGGGTATCTTAGAGAGAATCAAAAGGTTCTGCATTGCCATGATGTACCCACTGATCATGTATGTGTACTGGTTACAACCACTAAGGAAGGTGAACGGGTAGATGCACCACTAGTTTTGGGTGACCCAGATGAAAACTCATTTTTGGAAAAGGGCAGGATTTTTGCCCTACCAAAAAAATTCCTCCACAGGCCAAGTTTTGGACCAAATAACTCAATTGATTTAGCTCCATATATTAACTCTTAAGTATGAGATGGCCTTGTACTCTTTTGCTACTTTTTATTTTTTTGATTCCCTTCTTTAGTCAGTTGTCTCAAGCATTGTCCAAGGGTTTTTTTTTTCAGGCCTTATGGGTCATAATGTTAAAGAATAATTAAAATTGTTACCTTTCATTCTTCAATGATTTTCATTGGTGGTGGTTTAAGATTACCACATACAGGTCCAGCGTGCAAAGAAAGTCATGTCCGATAGCCCGGGGCTAGTGGATTTTGCTATCAGGGTAGTGATTTTTGCTCTTAACTTGCCCAACGGGCAAGTGCTGCTTTTTGGAGAAATTCAGATTACAGAAGGATTGCAATAAATCCTGCTAATCAAAAAGGGTTTTGGGGCTAGTTGAAATGACTTGTGGGCTAGTACATACTAGCTACCGCTTGCCTGAATGGCAGGCTGTAAAAATGACTTTCTTTGCACCCTGAGGTCAAAACATTTTGGAGGAAGTCAGAGTCAACAATTATCACACAGGTGCTATTCCCTTGTGGCATTTACATTATTTTGTTTATTTCAATTGAGAAAGGACAAAACAGCAAACAGTCATCAACACAGCTGGAAATAGTACCATAAAATTAGCAAGTAAAGTTCACAGATGTTTATAATGGTGCAGGGGCAAAGTTGCTACCCTCCATTTAAACCTCTCTAAACTCTGCTACTTTGTAGATACATACTTTAATAAGATCAAAA